ACTCTTGTGGGACACTCTTCTGGGACACTCTTGTGGGACACTCTTGTGGGACACTCTTGTAGGAAACTCTTGTGGGACACTCTTGTATACACTCTTGTGGGACACTGTTGTGGGACACTCTTGTAGCAAACTCTTTGTGGGATACGTCTGCCCACACACTAGAAGCAGTCACGCGAGCGTTTCGTGCGAGACTTCCTCCAAAAGTCACGCTTCGAGGCTGCAAGACGAGTGTTTCGTACGAGACTTCGTGTCAAGTCTCCAAACCGAGCTTTTCGCACGAGACTTCCTCCAAAACTCACACGTCAAAGTCTGCAAAACGAGCGTTTCGTACGAGACTTCCTCAAAAAGTCACACGTCAAGTCTCCAAAACGAGCGTTTCGTACGAGACTTCGTCAAAAACTCACACGTCAAAGTCTGCAAAACGAGCGTTTCGCACGAGACTTGCAAAAGTCAAGCGGAAACACCCATCGGAGCACACACATCACGCAGCCCAGCCAAGCAGTTTCGCGATTCCAGCCCCTCCAAACAACATCCGCTCACACGCCAATCCCAATGTGACAGCGACATTCACCTCTACAGCAACTCACAACCTCACGATTCCCTGCGCCTGCCACGACTCTTTCCGCGTCCACACGTCTAACGCGCACAAAGTACTGCGCCTGCCACGAAATGTCACCTCCATCACACCTCGCAACCTCACGATTCCCTGCGCCTGCCACGAGAATCGCACTTCCACGCCTCAAAACCCGCACAAAGTACTGCGCCTGCCACGAAAAGTGACAATATCATCTCATGTCAGCTTCAACAAAATTTGCACCACACCACACGTTTTGAATGATTTCGACCCGTTCTGAGCACACGCCCATCCACCAAAATCGCCATTACAGCTGAGACTTGTTTTCGTGAACAGACCTTTGATGCCACACCCTGAAACGCAAATCCCAATGGCACGGCCACATCCAACACCCCAAAAAACACGACTCTCCAAACGCTAATCTCAATGGAACTGCGCAGAAAACTGCGTCACAAAACGCTGCGCCTGCGCTGCGCAGCAAAATGCATCACGTTTCTTGCGCGACATGTCATTGTCATGCAAATCACAATGTAATAGCGGCACAAACTGACACGTGACACATCCATGAAAAGTCACTTGCAAAAGCTTCCCCCAATGGCCTCGAATTTGAGACGCGACGACGACGACAAACGACGAGAGACGACGAGAAACGACGAGAGACGACGACACGACGCAAGCCATGCAAACACAGCTCCAACCCCCAGACCCCCAACTATAAACGGGAACCCTTCGCTACGCATTCGGGAAAAAAAACAGCAAACAAAAGGCAAACAAAAGGGTTAGGAAAAAAGACAAACACGCAAAGTTACATGTTTTTGTTTCTCATTGTTTGTTGGCTTTAAATAATATGTTGGTTCCTTGTATCATTTTGTATTTCCTTGTATCATCTTATATCTATGGCTGGCGTGCCGAACATAAGATTAGTGCAACTGTGAATTAACACCCACCCGCCATGCAGCAAAAAGGTAATAGATCAAATGATGTACCCTGGCCAATCTTCAGGTTCGATTGTCCCATTTGCATTGTTTGTCTAAGTGGGGACATGCAATGCGATGTGCAAAACAAATCTCGCTAAGATGCACGGACCTGAGATCTACAAATCTAGTCCCGCACACGCTGGATGAGTTCAGGTTAGATCTATTATGATCGAATTGAAGCAACAAGAAAGGCTTTCACATTATGAACTGCAATGTCTTACTTACATGACGTTGCACTTCATAATGGACCGCATGCATATGGGCGGCTGTGTTTGTGTCAGGCGGAGGCCACATTCCTCTACAGGCCCTGCCGGTGGGAGGAGAAACAAGACGACAAGACTTCCAAGAACACCATACACTCAGCTTGATGTTGGAATTTATTCGATCCACTGTTTTGGTGGACACAAATTGCACAGATCTGTTTGTGGGACCACGTGGGCCCTTGGACACACTTTGAGGCCTTCGTTCCATGGCAGGTGGAGAGTGAAGGTGAGGAGAAGGGGCAGAAGGATGCGAAAGATGCAGCGAAGGCACGCTTGGCAGGTGCACAAATGGCACAGGTACTGGTAGGTCACCAGAGGTACAGAATAAAATCCATGAACATCCTGCCAAGGAGAAGCACAAGTTGGACGATGACGGGAAGATATTTTTCACCCGGTCCAACTTATGTTTGGCACTTTGCGTCACTTTGAGGGAAGTCCCATCTGTGTTGAGCGGCAGCCGCATGGGAGACAAAACATTTAAAGGTCGCATCAAGGAAGGAGCGAAGTATTGCTATGCATCGTACCCAGGGAAGTTCAAAACTGGATTTGTGGCTCTCACCAGCGATGAGGGTGAGTTCAGTGAGCAGAGTGTGGCATGCGTGTATTTTTGCACAAAAGAAGACGGTTTGGGTAAGCATCACACTGACCCAGAGGATCCCAAAGGACGTTGCTTTTGTCGGTGGATCTACGGTGAGGGCAATGATTTGAACAGAGATTACGAGACGTGTCTTGGATTTGCTAGGGAAGACAGGACGAGATCCTTTTTCATCTCCTTTGCAGGGAAGATCCTCCCATATCCTTCCAGCCTTAATGTGCACTCGCATTCCCTGCTGCTGCCGCTGCGGCTGCTGCTGCTGATGTTTCTTTGCCGTTCCTTCACTGCTGGTCTGCTGCCTAGCTGGTAGTTTGCCAGTGCTGCTGTTTCCTTGTAGCTGGTTTGCTGCTCCTGGTCCTGGTTGGTGCTGGCTCTTGTTTGCTGATTCTGGTTTGCTCCAGCTTTTCTGGCCTGCTGCTGCTGCTGCTGCCCCTCCTCAACTTTGTCACCTGTTGTTGACTCATGTTTGCTTTTTGCAGACTCCACAACAAGAACCAAATGAATCAGCTGCAGTGGACGGCCGTGCAGACATGATCGTATTGGTACGCCAATACTGCATTCAGCAGCCTGCCACGGCAACCAGCGCTACAAGCCCACCAACCTCACACAGATAGTCAGAATTCACACCGTCACTCTCACAGACAGGCGAGAGGGATCAATCTTAGTGCTTTTCCATGCTTTTCCTTCGTGCCCGCAACGCGCTTTTCCACGTGCTCCGCCTGCAATTTCTGAGGTTTGGCTATCTGCACTGGGTTGGGGAGCCTTACACCAAGGAGAAGGTGGAGGAGGCCGAAAGAGTTGCGCAGGCGATGGGTGCCGTTCTCCTTCAGAAGGATGCGAGCGAGTTTAACAAACAAAAGGGGAAGGAGGAAGCCAAGAGACGGTGGAACAAGAGTGGTCGTGTCCCGGCCTGGGGGTGCGATTGGTTTTATGTGTCTTTCCTGCACTTAGCTACTTGCCATATATTGTAATGACTTGCTTTTGTTGGCTTCTGAACGGTTCAAAACCTCAGCATCACACCCAAGGTTTGGTTCGGGCACATGAAAAATGGAGTCCGTCAAGGTCAGCGCCTGAAGGTGGTTTTCTACCCAGGCATGGCCGGGAAGGGTACTGTCACCATGAAAGATTTGCAAGATCCAAAGGTATCTTTGTGGGATTCAGACCCGAAGAAGAGAGGCCTGGGCGGGTCTCAAAAAGCTGAAGTGGCGATGATAGAGGCCATGCGAGAACGATATGGTGATGCATGGGCTTATGACCCAGTGGATGTGTCAGATTTCCTCAAGGATTCCTTTTCTTGTGGACAAACCGTTGCCGCGTGGCACGACAACAAGTGGCATAGAGGGGAAATCCTTGAGGTGCCCAGCGGCCGGCCAGGTGATGGCTTGGAGTGGAAGGTTAAGTCCAAGGAGACCGGCCAAACATTCCCAACCGAACACCTTCGACATGAGAGTGCAGCACCACAGACGTTGGCCGACAAGTTGAGTGAGCCCAGTTTCATGAAGGCCTTGAAAGACTGTCTTCCCGAGGGCCAGGAAGTGGTAACAACAATTCCCAAGGAGCAGAGGCTCCACAATGGTGATCCTGCAATCACATTTGATCTTCAAAGTGCGAATGTGGAAGCATTGAAGAAGCTGTGCAGCACAGTGCTCTCGGGCGATTTGGAATTCGCGCTCAACGCGGCTGCCTTCAAGCAACAACACGACCTTGCTTGGCAGGTACAGATTGAGAAGACTGAGTTTGTCAAAGCATACAAGAACGTGCTGATGAGTTCCACCAAGCTAACACTACACCAAGAAGAGAAGCTCAGAGAGCTGGATGAGCCTGGAGATGTTCACCTGGCGGCAGCAGCGGGGTCAGGGAAAACCTTCATCGCAGTTCGGAAGATTCTTTCGACCCTGGGTGCAAGCACAGATGATCAGGTCTTATTCGTCGCTCCTTCCAAGTGTCTTTGCCTTCATTTTCTGCGATGGTTTGTGGCGATGACTGGAGATGGATCAGAGAGGCTTGTGCTGGAAGATGTGAGGATGTTGCTCTCTCGAGTCAGGTTTTTGCATGCCCCTTACGAGAGTCTCATGACCGCCAGCATCAAGTCAGGCGCCCGAATAGAGCTTGCAAGAGATGAACACCCCACCTTCGAGTTTGTCCTTACGGTGGTCGATGAAGCCCATGACATTTTTCGACCAGATGTTCACCAGGGACTGCTCATTCAAACTTTGCGGAGCTCCCAGAAGCGGATTATTTTGTCAGATGCTTCGCAGTCATCAGCCTTCGTGCAGAATTACCCTTTAGAATTCCCAGTTCGTCGAGTATCTCTTGATCAGGTGATCCGCTGCACCGAGCGGATCGTCCTCGGTGCTAAGTCGTTTCAGCTGAATTCGGATCAGGGTGATGATGTGACTTCAGTAGGCTCCAACGGCCCACCTTTGAAGACGTTCATTTTTGAACGAGGAAAGGGAGCTCCGCCACTGTACGAAGACTACTGCCAAAACACGATGCAGGCGCTCAAGCATGTGAGTTCTTCATATCCACGATTGACTTTTCACCACAACATTGCAATCATGGTGCCCGACCTTAATTTCCTCGGAGAGTTCAAACCGCTTTTGGAAGAAAAGCTGAAGGAAGATATTGGATGCAGGCCACTTTGCAAGAAGCTGGGTCTCATCGACTTTGAGGAGTCCCTGTCCTACCTGATCTCATCACATGCAGACGAGGAACAGGCCTCTGAGGCCGAGATGATGATCCTGGATACCATCGACAATGCAAAAGGCTTGGAACAACTGATCATCGTTGCTGTTGGAATGGATGCGGAGATCAGTCCCACAGGCCGCTTGGGACCTTGGGAGACTGAGTGACAGCCAGACTAGGAAGAGAGAGAGGGAGAGTTTTCTGGTAGAGTTAAATCATGTCAACTCATGTCAACTCTCATCACGAAGCATCTTGAAGCTTCTGTCACAAGCGGACCGTGAATGACACATTTAGACACTCCCATCTCTGACAATTAATTAGTGCTGTTCTTCTACCCAGGGCTGTACGCGTTCTGTCTAGATTCTTGCTTTTGCCTCCTTCAAACTCGACGACGCAACAGCCTCGTGGGCACAGGACATATTGATGATTTGTTAGCACGTGCAAGGCTATATCAAAGCATAACACGGGCTCAATTGATGGCCATCGTGGTGAATGAGTATGTACCAGGGGGTGGCTCGCACATCTGGCGAATTGCAGGTTGAAGCAAGGCGACTTCGATCAGCAGGAAGCCCGTGCAGAGTCAAACATGACAGTGGCCACCGAGTTGGTGAAAGATATTTCAACTGGAGAGCCCCAAAAAAGCCAGGCCTACAAAGATGCACCGGAAACTAATGCCGTTGACCTGCTGAGTCGTCCAGCTTTGGACGCGCCAACTTCAGCTCCTGCACCACCTCCAACCAATCTTCCAGCTTCCGCCGTCCCAGAGAACCCGGTGATCGAAAGTAGCGTTTGGGACACCGAGCAGAACACCATTCATTCACCCGTGTCTGAGCTCAGATTCAATCCTCTGAGACCACCATCCGCCTTCGAGATGCTGAAGTCCCGGCTGCGCCAAGTTCCTCTCCCTGCCACTTGTCCCTGGCCCCCGGAGGATGTCCTCCTTTGCTGGCAGAACGAGCCTGATCACAAGAAGGGCGTGGTTGGCGAACTCAAAAGAGTGAAGCAGCTCTATTTGTTCCACCGCAACGGCGCCGTTCTTCTGAGACAGGAACTTTGGCACTTCCCCGCCTCGGCGTTGGAGGACGCCGTTCAGGCCGCTGGCAGGTCCATTAACGAGGGCCGCTACGCGGTGGCGCCGGCCGAGCGGCGGGTGACGCTCACCTGGGATCGACGTGCTTGGGCCAGCAGCACCGGAGCCGCCGCCGCCCCCGCAGAGGTGCGCTTCGATCCGTGGGGGGCGGATGATGCTCGTTTTGGTGAGGTCTACGACCTGGAAGAGCTGTCCGAACGGTCGAAGAGTCCAGGCGCAAAGCCGATGGCCTGGGCGGATCACCAGCTGTCGGAAGAGACATTGAAGGATTTGGAAGAGGAATTGAAGGGGAATGGGCCTTGGAATCCGGAGAATCTATGGTTCTTTACCGCGGACCTGGGTTGACCACATCGTGGACATGTATACATCGGATCTCATAACCAAATATAGTTTCACGGCCTTTCGATGCCTGAATTGAGTCGCTGCAGCGCAAAGGCGAAGCAGCTAGTGGATCAGGTCCAGCACATTCACCAGCTAACAGCATGGATTTCAGGAGGACCCGCAGTTATAATAAATTAATTTGCTATCCTTTTCCTCATTGTTTGGGACGGCTGGGGATGTGCGTCAGCTAGCTTGCATGGAGTGGAGAAGAAGTTCGCTTGCAGATGGGTCAGCTGATGAACATGCATTTGATATCATTTGATCATGGAACTTGCAGCTTCGCTTCGTGATTCATAAATGATTTCTGACGCGCTCAAGCATCCGCGGCTTTAGCGTGTGACTTGTTTGTCGAGCTGCGAGCTGAAATCCAAACAGCTGAATAGAATTTGTCGTTTGACCATAGTTCTTCAACATCACATTTTAAGCATGGACTTGATGGTCGCCATAAGTGCAGGTCCCATTGTTTAAGCTGAAGCTGTCGTGGAGCCATGAAGTGTGCCAAGTAAAGTCACCACTGATGACTGATGACGCATAGGTCTGACGATGTTTGTGGATGGCCGGTGGATAAACAGTATTTTTGCTTCTGCATCATCCTCCAATCCTTGACAACCTTGACATTCACTGACTCATCTGACTCCGACTCCGCCCAGAGAATCACTCCTGCCCCTGGCTGCGCCTTTGCGCGCCACCGGGGCGCATGATGGGGCGCATTTCTGCGTGCTGGCGGGGCCAGTGGCTGCTGGGATGAAGCTCGGCTGAAGGATGGCATAAGTGGGAGGTAGGGTAGCGGCTTAGCAGATTAATCATCCAAAAGAAGATGGGGTTGATGGCAGTGATCGACACAAAGGCGGTTGTTAAGTCCATCTATCTATCTATATATATTATTATTCTAATTCATTCTATATCTATACTACTGCATGTACTTGCCTTGTTTGATGTGTTTTTGTGCTTGTTGACATGGAAATGTTACCCGAAACCTGAGTTTGTCGCCTGTAATTAGCTTCGATGGCAACATGGTTGTCATGGTGTTTCCTGCCGACCTTTGTTTGCACTATGGAGCCACGGGGTCATTGATTGCCCAGGAGCGAAGTTGAAGAGCTGGAAGCATTGATTGATTGGATCAATGCTTGCCCTTTGGTCGCATCCCCGACACCTAATCAGCTACAGAGCCGACTCCTAACATACATTCTATGGTTTTTGCTCACCAATGGCAGGGGATTGAACTATGGGTGGACATACCGAGTTCTTCAACAAAAAATGGCCAAGAATTGTTCCACGTCACGTTTCCGACCCCGTGCACCTCTATAGTTTCAATGTTGTCACGTGAAGTTCGGCATTGGCAGCCTCCAGGAACAAGATAAAACACATCCATTCAGGTTAGCTCATGTCAGAAGCCCAATCAACAAATTTGAAATAGGGGGATAGGGGGATTCAAGATCCTTATGAAAAAAACACAACTCTTTCTGGATGGCTGGAATTTTTGAAGAACCCGGTGTTACCCGGTATGTGGGCCTGACCTTGTTTGCTGTCACTGATTGCATTTTGTTGCCAAGGTTGCCCCGATGCAGATGTGGAGGAGTTTGATGACCTAGCAGATGGCGCCATTCTAGCAGTCCCTCGACGATGCTCAAGTAGGACTCAGTTAAAGCTGCTAGCAGTTCTAGGGCCAATCAACAAGGAGGGGGTTGGCAGGAACAATCTCGTTGGTTCCTGTTTGCAAGCCAGGTTTGTCACCAATTCAGAATACTAAACGGTCTATATAGGGTTGTCAGCACGTTGGGGTAAGTAACCCGTGTGGCTAGCCCAGGATGTGCTGCAGCTCTATGCGCCTGAGGTGGATCCTCAGAACAGCGCTGCAGGTGGGTGATTGGTTACCGACAACGCCGACGACGTTTGATGTCGGTAGCTGAAGGGTGAATAGACTGAATATGGGTCCACTTCCAAGATTTTTGAGACAATCCCAAGTGCATTCGCGTTACAAATCCAGTGCGTCAGTATTAGAAGATGTGCTTGATATTCCATGACCTGCCCATCCCCATTGATTTGGTCAGGCAGCGCCAAGCTTTTGCACTCCTGTCTTAGCAGCTACTTTGGTGAGCGGATTTCCTTGCCCAGGCCCTGGCACCCAGCCAAGATGGGTCAACTTGGGGAGGTCTTCAACTGAAACAGATTCTCCAACATAATGTCTCGGACAGGTGGTTTGAACCTGTCTAAGGTGCTTAACAGCAAAACAAGCGGGTGGATTGGTCATTGTTCTTTTCCACGTGGTTCCGGCCAGGCTTGCAGGGAACATCCACAACGGAGCCTTCTGCAAGCCGAAGCTCTTGCGGTCCCTGACTGAAGCCGTGCTGCTGGCCGCGGTGGAGGGCCCCCGCAAGGCCGAACGGACAAGATGGGGAGATTGTGGATGGGAAAACATGGAACTTTTTTGTGTAAAGGGCCGCTTTGGATGGTGAGGCCAAGACAATTCAAACATGCGCCGCTTTACTTTTCAATCGAGTCTCCTATTTACGGACTTGTGTTCAATGACGGTTTGGCCTGTATGACTGCCACACCATGGCTGAATCAGACCAGGTTTTCAAGGAGTCCTGCCAGTGCAAACGCCCAGGAAGCTGCTGTGCAAGCCATCATGAACCTGAATGAGACGCTCAGATGAGCCAAGGATACTTATTATATTTTCCAGCGCCGCGAAGGTCCAAGTTGCCAATGCAGCCCATGGATGATTGAAAATGTCTCAGAATCAGATGTGGATATACAGTAGTATCCAGGGATATCCAGGGCATATTATGCTTCCCAATTCTTCAGTTACCTCCGCGCGGGTTTGATCTCCCAAGGCCCAAGCAGATGGCACTGGGCGCCGCGTTGCAACGGCTCATGGCCCTTGCTGAGGCGCAGGAGCGCCGCTTGCCGGCCTTTAACCTCCAGACAGGGGCGGATGGTTGGATGGGCAGAAGGCTAGATGACAAGCTGAGAAGCCTTTGAACCTTAGGAAGATCATCTAGCGCAATGCACACGAACTTGAAGAACATGGTTCCGTACGGACCCCTTCTGAACAACATGGCCCTATGGCCCAATGGCTCAGGCCATGCGGAGCCAAACGTGGACGCCTCTGGGAAGTCGAACCCGCCCACGCCGCGGACGCCGCGGGAGATGACCGACGCTCGGTGGGAGGAGTGAGTTTCTATGCTCAACATACCCAACCGATTTGGAACCCAAGGATTCCACAGCAGAATACTGACGGACTTTGTCAGATGTTTCGACAACCAAGTGGGACTTTCATGGGCCCTCCAGTGCCACAGGGACACTGCTTTGGAGATGGGCTCAGGCATACAAATCCGTGGCAGACTTTCTCCAGGATGAAATCCAGGCCAGGGATCATGCACAGGGAGATCCCACATCTTTTTGTACTAACATGTCCATTAGACAGGTTAAGAGTGTGGCAGGTGTGAGTCGCATCGTGAGGTGACTGATTTTCTATGATTTTTCTCGTACGTCGTCCATGGTCGTCCCCAGAATCTATTACAGTAGTTGTTGGTGAAGCTATACTGGCTATACTTATTTGTGGACCCGTATGCTATGCAGTTCAAGAGTCAACCTTTTTGCTGGGCTCCGGCGTGTTGGAATTTGTTGGAGCTAGTCGAGGAGATGAAGCAGCAATGCAAGACGGAGGAGCTAGCGGTCGAGGGTTTCAAGAACAGTGAGAAGGCTGAGTGATGACGGCTGACCGCACAAGCAGCGACGCCAATGCAGTTGTGATTGACCGATGGCGGACTCTGAGAAGCATCACCGTATAGAGGATCCTAAGATGAGATGCAGATGGGTGTTTTCTCACATAGTTAGCTGCTCCAGTGCCATCCATCAGACAATTTGCTTGCAGGCTTTGCAGGTGCAACTCCGCGCGGTGATGGTTGACTTCGCTGCTGAAGAGGCAGGGATTGGTTGGAACCGGGTTGTCTATGTTGTATGGACAAGGCAATTCAGCAAGCCTTCAGGGCACTCACTAGGAGCGGATTTGTTTTCCGTAGGGCAGGCTCATCAACATATCCCGCTGGGCCCAATGTATGACGGGGCCATCGGCAGGAGCAAGCGGCCGAGACCAGTTTGCAGATCCAAAAGTGGCAGCGCAGCTATGGCGATGAGATGCGGCAGAGGAAGGCTGGGCGGAGGAAGCTTAGACTCAAGTTGCCAACGTAACACGAAGCCAAGCCAAGGGATTCCCAGTACCAGCTTCCAACTGATTAGAGCAAGGCAGAGGAGCCCATGATTCAAAGCAAAGAATATTGCTGCAACGCCTCGCTTCACTTGGCCGGACGCTTTGTTCAATGTTGGCCAGGCGGAGTGCCAACTGTTGCAGCAGGAGCTGCACAAGGAGACCGAAAGTGCCAAGGACGCGACGAGGGGCCAAAAGACAAAGACGATTCCAGTGGAAGCAGGGAGATCATGAATAGGACTTTTGAGATTGTGGGAAACCATTGCATGGCATACTTGCCACAGAGAAATTCTTGCATCCACATTTCACCTTTGTGATCCTTTGTGCAACTGGGCTGAGCAAGCCCGGATGTGCGAAGCAAAACCCTGCAGGACCTGCCGCAGCAGCAGCTGAAGCTCCAGAGGCATCTGGACTCCGAGCTCGATGCTTGCTGTCAGATGCAGGACGCAAATGCCGGAAGGGTCCGAATATATCCGAATTGATGGATAATGACGGACTAAGACATTTTTGGCGAACAAGGTCTGACAAGCACGGATTCGGATGAAGAAGAGTGACGAAGCCATGGTTGGACCACAGAACAGCAAAATACCTCAACAGCATGGCCGCACATGCTTTCTGATTTGTTATCGAGATAGTCGAGATACAAGGAGTTTTTGCAAAGCAGAAAATCTCTAGGTACTTCAATGTGAGATGCTGGGAGTATATTCAGTCTATATTTGTTGTTGATGGTGGCCGACTGTAGCAACTTTCTGCGCCATTGCCCAATTCAGTGGGCTATTCATGCCGCATGGTTGTTCAGTGGGCCAGTATTTTCAGTGGTGACGAGTATTCCTAAAATGTGTTTTTGTGCTATACAGTTTGAACTTCACACTGGACTTTGCCACCGACTGAGATTTCCATGCTGGATCCCTGAAACAATAGGACTGTTTCAAGCCATTGAAGGGTCTCAGTATGCGTGGGGCAATTTGAGAGGACACCACCGACAAGCTGGAGGTCGAACTACGAGAGGCCTGAGGAGTTGGTGCAAGAGGATCAAGGTGAAGGTGCATCATACAGTAAGCCAAAAAGCAAACAGCAGTGAAACAAATTGATTGGGCTCCCCTTTTTTTTAACCCCCCAACCTCTTTTTTTTAACCTACCACTTTTTTTTAACCCCCCGACCCTTTTTTTTTAAACACCCTTCAAAACAATGGTTTTTAACCCTGCAGACCTTTTCTTTTTACCCCCCCCCGACCTCTTTTTTTTAACCCCCCGACCCCTTTTTCTGACCCCCGAGCGCTTTTTTCTAACCCCCAACCTTTTTTTTTTAACCCCTGACCTTGCTTTTTTAACCCCTGACCCTTGCCTGCGAGTGCCTATGCCCTCGGACCACTTACACAGAGCCCACCCAGCACGCTGCGCCAGCCCACTTGCCGTGATGACGTGGGGGCGTCACGCTGTTGCACGGCTCGGCTCCATAGCGGCAGGTGACTCAAGAAGCATGGCTCAAGTAGCGGACCCCGGTGTGTCATGCTGTCTGCCGCTCGGCTCTGCAGCGGCCGCGCACCGCGAAAACATGTTGCCGCAAGAAGCAGAAGCAGGCGCGCACGCGCGCGCCTTGAAAACACGTTGCCGCAAGGAGCAGACTCATGGCGCCAAGTAAAAGGACGTCCCCCCCTACCCGTCTTCTCTGCGCGAACTACCTCGAAGTAAGAGGGGAGCCCGGGTAACTTTAGTCATGAAGAGAGTGTAACGGGAAGGTCGGAAGGTAATCAAATCAGCACACCGAGAATCAGCTGCATAAAGGTTTTGGTTCGGGCTGTACGACCAGTGTCGCTGAGGTGCGGTGGCAAGACGTTGGAGGAGCATGCCCTGTATGCAGGCACGTGGGACACATGTTCACATGGCCTGTGTGAAACAAGAGGCACATGTTCTGGCGACGTGCCGCGGAGTGTCGTTTTTGTTGAAGTGATAGCTGACAAAGGAAACCACAATTGCGGCCACTTGCACTTTCATGGGGCGGCCTCCTATCGGCAACGCGATTGCAAAGTACCTGTCAACCACAAGTATAATGCAGGCGGTGGCTTGTGTATCTCTTGAAGAATGTGACAACTTTCAAGACTGAAAGCCTTTAACAAAGCTAGTTCAATCAAGTCGAATCTTGGAACCAAATACCACCAACTTGGACCCAAGTACCATCAAATATATATATATATATATTGCCTGTAGACGAAAGCCAGCATGGCGTTGGTCTCCGCATACTGCCTGATGGGCTTCTTGGCTGGGGTTCTGCTTGGTGCTTTGCCATCATTGCCTTCGAATGGAAGCAGCTGGAGCAAGAAGGTAGTGAAAGTCCGTGGCCGCTGGTGTTGCCAGAGGAAGATGCGGCAGCAACCGAAAGGCGTGCCTGACATCCTCTGGCTCATGGTGGCAATGTGCATGCTGCCGTGCGGGGTCGGCTTTCTTCGTGCTACTCTTGTCTTATGGTCTCTCCGTGGATCCTTCTGCCTTGTCACCTTTGCTTGGTGCCTCGGTAGGTGCAGCTGGCGGTGGGCAACCCTCGTCTCAGTCGGACACGAAGACCACCAAAAATGCGGTCTCAGAAACTGCCATGTGGTGGGTGGGAGCGCAGGTGCCGCACCGGCAGTAGGACGGATGCAGGGCAAGCCGGCCGAAGGTGAGCGTGGATTGGTGTTGAAAGGAGTGGCTGCTTCGGATTTTGAATGGTGAGAAATGCGTCGAGTTGCGAGGGCAGGCAGCCAAGCTTGGGCACGTGTGGTTAGTGCAAGGCAACCGAGTGTATGGCAAGGCCACCATTGTGAAGAGTCAACCAATCGACTTGGCAGAGTTCGTGGCATTGCGTGGTGAGCACAAGTTAGAGACGGAGACACTTCCATACAAAAACACGTTTGCCTTGTGGCTCACCAACGTGCAAGAGTTGTTAGAGCCGGTGGTGTTCCGCAAGAAGTGGGGGTGCATAGGGTGGACTCGTATCTGGTATAGTGCCCAAGGGCGGCGAGGCAGTGCAGGACCGCGGTCGAGGTGCCGGGTGAAAGCGACCGTCAAGAAGAAAGGAAGCAGTAGAAGATCAACGGCAGGCCGCCGAAAGCAGCCGAAAGTGGGCCGAGTTTACGGCGTGGGATTGACAAACATTGGCAATACTTGCTTCGTCAACAGTGTCCTCCAGATGCTTTTCCACTCGAAGCATTTATGTGCGTGGTTGCGCGCGCATGTTGCCCAGAAGCGTTGCCAAGGATCATGTGTTGCTTGCTTGCTGTGGCAAACAAATGCCGCCCGGGAGTTTCATCAAGCGGATGCCGAAGTCATGCGCATGTGGCAGCCACTTCTGCAAACAATGGGCTTCGCTGGTGGAGCGCAAGAAAGTGCAGGAGAGTTTGCCTTGGCTCTGTGCACGGAGGCCTGGCGGGGCATGGGGGAAAGGCAAAATACGAGGATTTGCAAGTAGTTTGATTAGAACAATAGAGGTTTCCCGTGGGGTGAAGGTGGGGCCGCAGCTCCGCCCTGGTTGCAGGTGGAAGGCATCAGGCCTGGCTTGTTTGCAGTGGAGGTGAAGCGGCAGCAGGAGCACAGGTGCTGCGTTGAAACGTGTACCCTGCACGACATCGTGGCAAAGACTGGCCAGAAAGAAGCATGGAATTTGATCCTTGCAGACAATGAGCAGTTTGAGCGCGCAACCGCCAACGATCTCATCGCAAAAACCTTTGCCAATGAGTGGTTGGCTGAAGGGTTGCGATGTGAGGCTTGTGGGGCCCGGAAGGAAGTCTTGCAGTGCTCCGCGCCAGTGTCTAGCCCCGAATTGCTAGTGGTGCAATTTCCCCGCAACAGTTCTGTGGACTGCGTCACAATGCGCCAGCAGCGCAATGAGCACCCCATTGAGTGCCTTGGATCCGTGGAGGTCCACGGGTCATCGTATGACTTTGTGGCTTTAGTTGAACACCTTCCGAGCACGGAAAACAAAAGGGAGAAGAGAGGAAGGAAAGGTAACGTGGATCGGGGGCATTTTGTTGCTTGGTGCAAGGAAAGAGAGCACTGGTTGCGGTGCGATGATGCTGTGGTGACGCTGTGCAGAAGCCTCCCAGACAGTGTGGAGAAGGGTGTCGTGCTGGCACTGTACGAGAAAACCTGCGCGGCTGCGCGAGGGCATGGTACTGCTAAGATTGGAGTGGAGCAGGCTGGACAGTTGCCAGAACAAAAAGATGCAGAGCCTGCTGCGCCCTTGAAAGGCTGCAGTGCCAAAGGTGCGGGAGGAAGAGCTCCCTGTGAAAGCTTCGCCGTCCTTCGCCCGTGAAGGACGCGTGCAGCTGTTGCCGTTCGCCGATGGCGTGGATGGCACTCTGCAGTTTGAAATGGATGTGGCAGCGTGCTTGCGGCGCTTCGAAACCGGTGAGGATGTGGAGGCTTTCCTCGCCGGGTTGCCGCACTACAGTGTCGGGAGCTCAGTCCACTGTGGTTAATAATTTTAGATCCAAAAAGGTTGGGGCAGTTGAGAGACAGTGGGATGTGTAGGTGTCGCATTCATCAGAATAAAGTTGGTGGATGTGCTACACCGTGCGCAGGCAGAGATTGTGGGAACTTCCCTGGCGGAAGTGCAGGCCCAATTGCGTCCGCTCATTTGTGGTTTTGAAAGTGATGAGCTGGGCGGCAGGCAAGCAGTGGAGCTGCAATACCCTTTGTGGCGGACAGCGTTCTACCCACTGCTTGTTCTTACAGAGGCATGGAGTCGGAGCACCTGCATGCCTACAGTGTTTTACTACGATGTTTTCTGTTCACTTCTGATGGGCTTGCTCCACAAGGACATCTCTGTTGACGTGGCTGGGTACCCGTGCCGCAGTCGATACTGGGTCATTGGCACGGCCCGTCCAGGCAGTGGGAAAAGCCCGGCTGTGGACCCCATGGTTGAGTGTCTCAGAAGTGTGCTGGAGCAAAACCCTCACTTGGCTGCAGGGTGTGGATGGGACAAATTCCATTTGCTTGGGCCAGGAACCCATTGCACGGCCGTTGACAAGCTGAAGGCCACAGTTATGCCACGCTCATAACTGGAGAAGGTGGGCCGCTGCTTTGCCCTGCATTTCCACAAAATGGCACATGGAACCAGACTACGCACATCAACTTTGCGCGCTTCCTCGACAGCGCTGCAGGAGGAGAGGTGCCGTGGGAAACGGCGTTTGACCGAAAAGCCAAGAAAGAATCGGCAGAAGAGAGAGTGGTTCCGGTCAAAGGTGTTCCGGCACAAAGAACCAACGTGACCATTGCGCTGCTGCAGCAGCTGTCCGTGTGGCAGAATTGGTGGGTCGCCGGCGAAGCACGGTTCAAAATTGGTTTGGTGCAACGGTGCATGTTCTCGTTCGGTGCTTTGCGTGATCCAGGCCCACCTAGCCTGCAAGGCTTCGAGAAGAAGGTTGTCATGCCCATTTTGCGCCGTATCTTTGAAGCCGTCCTGAAATCAGTGGGCGGCAAGGCTCCTCTGGCGATGGATGCTCCCGCGCAAGAATGGAAGCTGGCGCTGCCATTGAAAGAAGCATTCTTCCAGTACAGGCTCGCATGTAACGATGTGACCAGGAAGACCTTCTTTGGTGAGACTATGGCTGCGGGCTTGCACAAGGCCCCTTACTGGGTGAGCACGGTTGCGCTTTTTGGCACATTGATGGAGGGCCTTTGGCCGATTGGCTGCAGGTGCCTTGGCTGCAGTTGGATTCCGTACGTGTGTTGGTTGCTGTTGGGGCTTCAAGCGAAAGAAAAAGAGGGGAGGGAGAGAGAAAGGAGAGAGAGATAGGGAGTCAAAGAATGCCACCCGGAGGAGCTCTGCGAGCTTGCCTACTTGGAGTGGGCAATTGACCGCGGAGAGCTTCAAGATGGCAACCTTATGCTTCCAGGAACGCATCTTGTACGGTCTTGCTATCTTGGAGGTGGACATGCGTCGACAAGCTCGATTAGCACGGCTACCGCCCAAGAGGCCAATGTCCGAGGTGCTGGGAGGAAGGGTGTAGGGTTATAAGATGCCGCAAGGG